ATAGTTGAAGAATATCTTGATGAAAGTAGATTGATTGATTTTTGGTATTTAACACCACTTTCAGCATGATTTGCTATATCTTGGATGCCAGTTTTTATTTGTGGAGACAGCCTGGTGAAAACATCCCCTTCAACAGAGAAACTGGCAACTCTAGTCAATTAAGATTGACGTTAAACACACCTACAATGTGAGGGTTCAGAGTGTTGACAGGCTAGTGATACAGTCGTCGTACTACTTTGACCATTCAGCCACCATACTCCATCCACACTAAATATGTTATTGAAATGTGTTGAATTTTTGTAATTTAATTCTTTTTTTATTTTGATTACCGGTATACTATTTATATTTTTTTGTTATATATAACAAAGGTGTGGAGTTCTAACAAGGTGAAATTTAGGTCAAAGGGAGGTAATTTATTATACTGTGTTTAACTTCAAATACTTGAAATTCCCTCAATGTTAAATTTTTATTTACTTGGATACTCACATTTATGCACTTTTTTACATATCAGATGTTTTCTAGATAATGCAAATTTAGGGTGGGAAAAATTAAGTGTCACTTAAAATAATTACGTAAAATTTTTCAAAAAGTTTATTAATTGAAAGTGCATCTGATATTTTTTATGTATATTACTTTATTTTCTAAAAACAAATGGACGCAACATAGATTGACAATAAGATATTGAGAAAAACCACCTTGTCAGCCAGGATAGCAGCTCTTAGGAAGATGGTCAATTAAATCTTCAACCAAGTCTGACTCTTTACCATGAAAATGGAAAAGGCAAGTTTATTTTAGCCAGATCTTTTAAGATAACAGACCCTTCTGAAATATTGCATTTAAAACACCATTGATGAATTAATTTACCAGTTTAGTATTTAAAGATGCAAGATACACGAACAACATTTTCTATTAAAATACCAATAGTAAATCCTAAAAATAGTCATTAAACTTCAAGAAAAGACCAGTACAATTTAAAACACGATTTTGCATTCAATGGGAGATAACTTTGTAAAATATTCAGATATTTTTTGTGCAGTTAAATTTAAATCTGACATTTTTTTACTTTTCTATCTTTTATATTGATTTAAAAAAAAATATGTTTTATACAATTGTCTACCTGCAATAAGAAATCAGAACAATATTTAGTAAATTTTAGGTTATCGGTAACACACAAATTGATTTACAAAATGTATAATGTGTTGATTATAATTTCATTTCAGATTCTTTCTGAGACATTTTAATGGTGTGGGAATAAGACTTGGTGGTCTTATACAGCTAATACAAAGGTATGTACCAGTATGTTAGTCATGTTTTGGAAAACTCAAATGTATTATAAATATTTTATGGAAATTAGCAAGATTTGAACGCTTAAAAGATTTTTTACAGGAATCTACTCTTATTATTATATCAGTAACCAAATAAGAGTAAAGTTTAGGATCTGAATTGTTTACATAAAAATGTATTGGCTTGTTGGATTGCTGTCTCATCCAAATGTTCTTGACATATATAACACATTTTAAGACTATTTCTATTTAATGATTTGCCACTGGACCTTTAGCAACCAACAACCAATCATTCAATTTATTCAATATACATACATAATACCAACAAAGAACCTTTTAAACAATTTTTATACGCCTGTTTACGGGACATATTATGGTATACCGTTGTCCGTCTGTCTGTCCGTCGTCAACATGTCGGACATTAACTCAAAAAACGCTTTAACCAATTTGCATAAAACTTTGGTGAATTGTTTATATCTGTTGACATGAGCTCCCTTTCGTTTTTTATATATTTTAGATTTTACGTTTCCGAGTTATGGGGTTTTATTCATTAAAAAAGGGGGGTTTTCCAGTTTTCGGACAATAACTCGAGAACGCTTTCACCAACTTGCAAGAAATTGTGGTGAATTGTTTATATCTATTGACATGAGCTCCCTTTCGATTTTTAAAATTTTTAGATTTTACGTTTCCGAATTGCAGGGTTTTATTAATGAATTATCATTTTATATTTCAGGTTAGCATCACAGCTTGTCTGTAAGGATTGAAGCTGGGAGTGGGCATTGGAGCTGACTTTTATGGTAAGAATCAATACATAGATTTATGAACTTTTCATCCAAGAGCATTTTAAAGCTCAAGATTTTTGTTAGGCACAGATGTAAATCTTACATATTAATGTCTTCTTTACTTATAGTTGAATAAACAATTTAGGAGATATATATAAAGATATATAAGGGAAGTCAAAAAGTATAATCTATAATGCGAAATCTTGGGATTTCAGTGTTTAGCTCACCTGGCCTGAAGGGCCAAGTGAGCTTTTCTCATCACTTAGCGTCCGTCGTCCGTTGTTCGTAAACTTTTACAAAAATCTTCTCCTCTGAAACTACTGGGCCAAATTTGACCAAACTTGGCCACAATCATCATTGGGGTATCTAGTTTAAAAAATGTGTCCAGTGACCCGGCCAACTAACCAAGATGGCTGCCATGGCTAAAAATAGAACATAGGGGTAAAATGTAGATTTTGGCTTATATCTCTGAAATCAAAGCATTTAGAGCAAATCTGACTAGGTAAAATTGTTTATCAGGTCAATATCTATCTGCCCTGAAATTTTCAGATGAATCTGACAACCCGTTGTTGGGTTTCTGCCCCTGAATAGGTAATTTTAAGGAAATTTTGCCGTTTTTGGTTATCTTGAATTTTATTATAGATAGAGATAAACTGTTAACAGCAATAATGTTCAGCAAAGTAAGATCTACAAATAAGTCAACTTGACCAAAATGGTCAGTTGACCTCTTAAGGAGTTATTGCCCTTTATAGTCAATGTTTAACCATTTTTCGTAAATTTTTGTAATCTTTTACAAAAATCTTCTCCTCTGAAACTACTAAGACAAATTTAACCAAACTTGTCCACAATCATCATTAGGGTGTCTAGTTTTAAAAATGTGTCCGATGACCCCACCTGCGAACCAAGATGGCCGACATGGCTAAAAAATAGTACATAGTGTAAAATGCAGTTTTTGGCTCATATCTCTGAAACCAAAGCATTTAGAGCAAATCTGACAGGATAAAATTGTTCATTAGGTCAAGATCTATCTGCCCTGAAATTTTCAGACCAATCAGGCAACAAGTTGTTGGGTTGCTGCCCCTGAATTGGTAATTTTAAGAAAATTTTGCAGCTTTTGGTTATTATCTTGAATATTATTATAGATAGAGATAAACTGTAAACAGCAATAATGTACAGCAAAGTAAGATCTACAAATAAGTCAACATGACCAAAATAGTCAATTGACCCCTTAAGGAGTTATTGTCCTTTATAGTCATTTTTTTACAATTTTCATAAATTTTGTAAATTTTTGTAAATTTTTACAAAATATTTTCCACTGTAACTACTGGGCCAAGTTCATTATAGATAGAGAAAATTGTAAGCAGCAAGAATGTTCAGTAAAGTAAGATCTACAAACACATCACCATCACCAAAACACAATTTTGTCATGAATCCATTCATGTCTTTTGTTTAATATGCACATAGACCAAAGTGAGCGAGACAGGCTCTTTAGAGCTTCTAGTTTTGTTATCTATAGTTGTCCCCATATATGAAAATATGTAAGTGTGGTATGTATGCCAATGAGACAGCTATCAACCAGAGACCAAATGATGTGGATGCAACTAAATGTCACCCTATGCCTTCAACAATGAGCAAAACCTATATTGTATAGTTAGCTATAAAGGTTCAACATGACTAAATGTTAAAAAATTCAATCAAGTATGTTAATAGCCTGATATACTATATATAGCTATAAAACAATGTTAAAAAGATATTTGTCAAGACATCAGCCAATGACTTGTTTTTCATCCTTTTATTGCTAAGAAATACTGGTACTTTAAAATTTATTTCAACAAATCACTTTATAACAAAGAAAAAGAAATGTTCTATACATTATAATTGTAATGCTCAGTTAATTATAATTGTTTTGCATTAAATATTATTTCAATGTTCATGAGTAATGTATATTTCTTTTTCAGATAACTCTGGCTGCATAAAATGGTTGTTTGATATAACTGCAACAGTAAAGAATGTAATTCAGACTATTTTTGTGTATGCTTGAGAAAATGTTTATAATTTTTTTACAAAAAAAAAAAAAAATATGTAAAGATTCTCCATTTTCAACAAGATTGGAAGTTGTAGATTAACTTGTATTTGACATTACAAAAATTCTTTCTATTTTCCGTTTATACTTATGTCTAGTCAAAACACTTCCAACAGTTTAAGAATGGATAATCTAAAAGAAATAGAAAGGAAAAAGAAAAAAAAAGTTCAATTATCGAAATGTATTTTTTTTTTGCGAATTGTAATGTATATATTTTTGCCATCTTTTTGTTATTTTAGGATATGAAATACTTTCAAATTTTACAAGTTACTTTATACATGTAGTTAATGCAATTAAATCTGCCGATGTGAATATTCCCACTAAATTTCTTAGCAAAAATTTTAATTATTTTTTATTTTTAGCAACGTTTCAAAATACCTTACCATAGCAAATGCCTCTCTAGATGAATAATGGTCTGCAGTAAATATATCCCCTTACAACCTTTTCTTTCATGTTAATTTTAATATCTTTAAGATATGTGACAAGGGTGCTCTAATGCAGAGGAATTTACGAAGTTAAGAAGTTAGAAATATATTTTTTGCACTTTTTTGGTCATTTTTAGCTGATTTTGGTTTGCAACCAAGGTGATATTTTTTAAATAATTTTACAAAAGGCATAGTTGAAGAACATCTTGTTGAAATTGGATTGGTTGATTTTTGGTGTTAAACACCACTTTAACATGATTTACCAAGTACTATAATTTTGGCTGTAAATTTTTATTTGAGGAGACAGCCAGAGTGCCTGGTGAAAACATCACCTTCATCAGGGAAACGGGCAAACCATAGTCAAATTAAGAATGAAGTTACACATTTCATGTGAGGGTTCTCAGTGTTGACAGGCGTAGTAAGTGATACAGTAGTTGAACTACTTATAGGACCACTCTGCCACCATAAGTCGATCAGTACAAAATATTTTATTGAAATGTGTTAGATTTTTGTTATCAATCTATTTTTTAATTTTAATTGTACTATTTTATTTATTTTGTTTAATATAACAAGGATGTGGAGTCCGAACAGGGTGAAATTTGGGTCAAAGGGAGGCAATTTATTATACCCCTGTTTAACACCACATACTTGAAATTCCCTCAATGTTAGGATTTTCATCTACTTGGATATTCATGTTTGTACATTTTTTTTTAATATCAGATGTATACTAGCTAATATTGACTATTATTTAGAGCTTTGTAATAAAAAAAAATAAATGTAAGCAGAGCTCTAGATAATAAGTATGCAGGGTGGGAGAAATCTTGGGTCATTAACAATTGATTTGCTGAAATTTTCAAGAAAGGGGATTTATTGGAAATGCATCTGATATATTTAATGTATAAAATTATATTTAAAAAAAAAAAGATGTTAAGATGATGAGGAGAGCCACCTTGTCAGCCGGGAGAGCAGCTCTAAGGGAGATGGTCAATTTAATCTTCACCAAGTCTGAGGCTTTACCATGAAAAATATGTGGTAAGTTTATATATTCCACAAATTTTATGGTAATAATATATATATAGGCATTTAACATTATTTTTTAAGGGTTCTTTTCTATCAGTGTTTGATTTTTAGAGTATCTAGTCTTACATATGTTTTCTGTCTGGTATCGAGTGAGCTGTGTTGGATAGAAACCAACTGTATGCAAGTTATTATCAATGAATTTGTAAACTTGTTTGGGTCGAACAAATTTTTATGCGAAGTCTGTAACTGTTTGAATATTGAATTGATATAGAATCATTTTCATAAAAGCGTGGACAAGACGATTTCTTGGCGCTCTTATGTTATCTATTGACTCGGTCAGATAAGGTGAAAGTTTGTAACGCCCACTTGTCACATTGAATGTGTTATAGACATTTAAACTGGGGTCACCAAAGGTTCTAAATGCCTACATCAAATAGTACGAATTACTAGCAGAGGACTAAACCTTGTGTGTTGATTTAAATGTTGAATAATTATTTTCTTTTTTTCTTCTCTTGTGCCTTCATTTACTTTGCTCTTTTATTCTATTTAAATCCCTATATAAAATTAATTTTATGGTTCAATAAATTCAAAATAAATAATAACCATTCATTAATTGCGATTTTGTAATTTTAGACTAAAATGCGATTTTAATTTTTGCGATATTGAGAAAAATCCTGTTTAATTCATATAAAAAATTTCAAAATGCTAGTTTAAATTATTGCCAATACAACCATGTTGCATTTTTTGCAATAATAAAAACATTGCAGTAGTTTCTGAATTTACAGTAATTGAGTTAGTATTATTACCAATATAAGTATTGGGGTTGTCTACGCTGTTATGAAAATGATTTTAAGAACCATCAAAAGAGAACAAAACCATCTGATTTTGTAATTGAATATTCCAAAATCATTGTCTTATACATATACATGCACTTGCACAAGGTCAATTTCTATCTCTAGCAGTTTAAAGTTTATATAGTGAAGATGATAATGTATAACAAGTTTTAATAAATGAAACATCCTCTTAGAGACTGATTGATCTGTAAAGTAATTATTTTTTTATTTTTAGGTTGTTATAATGATGATGTTTTCATGGTGTTGGGAGTAAGACTTGGATGTCTGATATTGTTAACATGTTGGTAGGTAATCAAGCATCTTTTTAGTAATATAATATTTGAAATCAATTTTATAATGTTCTTTAGTACCAAAAAAATAATTTTACACTGATGAGATACCGGTTGAATTTTTTTGGTAAATATAAAACTGAGTTTATAATTCAGAATACCAAATATTTTTTCCATGATTTTTTGTTATCCTAGTGCAATTTTAAATTTAGTACATGTGTAATAATTTTTTTTAGGAAAGTTTAGTATAACTGACTACTTTTATATTCCAGGTTACCATCAGGTTTCCATTGGGTTACTTGCTGGGATAAAGCTGTTATAAGGTGAGAACTTATTCATCAACATACAACTTTAATGTGTTTATGTTATAGTGTGATGAATGTCACTAAATAGATTTCAATATATATATTTTTAATTAAAAAAAAAATCAGTATTCAATCTTTTCATTTTAAAATAATGTACCCTTTAAAGCAGATACTAGATCTGAAGAAGATATATGAAGGGGAGATAACAATAAAATCGGATATTTTTGAGTAATCAATATAAGTAATAAACAAATTGTTTAACATACAATGATGTCTGTTTCTTTATTCCCGTTAGATTATTTTAAAATTAAGAATTAGCAATTGAAATTTAACTTTGTTTCTTTTTCAGTCGAAAGAGTTGCTGTTGCTGCCTTCCTTGTATGGTAAAATCCTCAGACTACAATCCTGCAAACCATTGGATGAACTGTTGCTATCTTTTGTAAAAAAATCAGCAGATATTTGTCTTATAAGCAGAATGAATTATAAATGCAATTAATTTTTAATGCTTTATTATTCAAATTATAAATATTTACTTCATTATTTTTTCTTGCATTCAATTATTGTTTTGTGATTGAAGAAAAATAAAAAAAAAAAATGTGAAATTATTGTTATTTGAGAGGTCCCAAAGGCATGATGTATGGTTTCACAAGATACCCATAAGAATTGCTTCAGTTTACATATATTTTTTAAACAATGTACACTGGTTTTGAAGAATTATAAGTCCTTTGTGAAATGAGTTTTTCTGGTAAGAAACCTATTAAGTAGGACTTTGATGGCCAAACACTAAAAGGGAATAAAACAAATCCCCTATTAATCAATACAAGTACTGAGTTTTAAGTGCAATATGAACTAGAAATAAAAACGTTTTGTTAGATGGTTTGTTTTGACTCTGCATTCTCTACATTTATACAAATTAATGGCTGTCAGTTTTATTTATTGGTTTCGTTTATATATTATAAATGCATTATTCAGCATCTGAGACCACTCAAGTGAAAATAATTACATAGTTTTTGCAGTTTGTCATATTTTCTCATTTTTGTGTGATTGATTTCTATATTTTTTCTCATTTATGATTATTTATATTTTAATGATTGATTTTTGAGGCTTGTACTCAGCTTCTAAACAATTACCTCCCCCTCCACATGTATAACCAGGATCCTGTAAAAGAAGTTTTGATTTTGAAGGATGGATGGATAATTAAAAATGCAAGATTTTTTTTAATGTGCTAGTTCACAATGTAAAAGTCTGCACAAGACATCTAACCCTACCCGAACACATTATTTTGACTTCCAGCTGACCAGTCTTTGCTCCTACTCCTAATTGCTGAATGCTTATCAGGGGAGCATCAAATACCAATTTTCAATTCTTTGATATGACCCAGGGCAGGACCAAATCCCATGCCCATCTGCACTCATGTTGAGCATAAAAAGGTTATTAAAGAAGATTTGTCGGTCTGTTTGTCCATCATCATCTCTCATCCACAGCTTATAAACTATTGGAAGGTTTTCATTTAAACTTTCAGTTTATCTTCTGTATCTAATGGCTGTGTGTATTCTATTTTATTATAATGAAATTTTGGGGTTCTCAATTGTAATGAATGGACCTCCTAAGTATTTGAAAAAAAAGAGAAAGAAGCTTCTCATACCTGTAACCAGTTTATCATGTGAAGGATAGGTTGGTTCAAATATATTTGTTTTTAATCATGTTTTTAGTAGTTGGATCTCATTATGACAAAATTTTAATGACTTAAATTCAAAATAAATGTGGGGTTCACACTGATATATATTACCACTGTAGCTTTAATGTAAATTTTATAAGGCTTTGCTATAACAAGATTTGTGTTTTATCTTGTTTTATCTGATTTTAGTGGTTTTTATGTGATTTTATTTGTTTTTACTGTCAAATCTTGTTATACCAAGCCTTAGTATGATTGAGTTTATATATTTTGATTATACATGCAATTCAAAATATAAATTTACATAATGAGATCAGACATTTATTATTCTTTTAACTCTTCTTAGTGGATAAAATAGAAAAATGAATGAACATAAATATTGAAGTGGTCGTTGAAGATTGAACAAATTACAAGATTTATAAATGCAGAATCTTGCTCTATCTAAATCTATGTTCTTATCAGCTGAACCAACCTATCCTTCAATATGAGTAATAAAATGGAAAAGTCCATTCTTCGATTGGGGAACCTTTGGATGTGAAAAAAATATACACAATGCCAACAGATACTGAAGATTATTTGAAAGTTTAGGCAAAAACAATTCAATCCTTTAATTGTGATTGGAAGTTGTAGACGGATGAGCAAACAGATGATATACTTGCTTACTATGGCACATTTCCTAAAGGATATGGACTATGGGTATGGGTTTTGCTCATGGTTGAAGGCTGTAGGTGACTGATAGTGTTAAATTCTATGTCATTTGGTCTCTGGTGGAGAGTTGTCTCGTTGGCAATCATATCTCCTCTTTTTATTTTATATGAAATAATTACTTATTACTTCCTGGGCAAAAAGTTCTGGTTCCATGAAAATAATAAAAAAAAATACTTATATCAAACATGTATTGTCATAGGCGGATCCATGGGGGGGCCAGGGCCCCCCCTTTTGGTGGGAAAAATTTGGTTGATTATATAGGGAATCACTGAAGCATGACTGGAGCGGGCCCCCCCTTATGAAAAGTTCTGGATCCGCCACTGATTGTTAAATAACTATCCTACTTTGATATAAAGTTTAAATTGTTAATGTTGTTAAATTGTTAATGGTTAGAAATTGGGAGGAATTATAAAGAAACTTTATATACAATATAAGAGCTTGGGGTTATAAATGTTTAATGAAATGCAGTTAACTATTTTATTTGGTGATCTAATAATTTTTGCACAGATCACGATATTAGTTTATTTAAATAACCCAGTAAATAAATTGAGTACACCTCATAAATGAATTTGATTCATGTATTTTTATGCATTTTTTATCTTAGTATTTACCATTGTATTCCTTGTTATATTTGTAAATGCCTCTTCGTATGTGACAAACTGAGGATTCATATATTTTATGGATTTATATAAATTTATTTTAAATTTGGTATTTAAAAGTATTGGAAAGCACCAAGTTTAATATTGAGCAAAAAAAATATTCCTTTAAGACCTAAGGATATTAAAATTTAAGACATGTATCTCAGAACAGAATTGATTTTCTAAATTCTATTTAAACAGCTAGTCTGGGAACTGGTATCAAGAAACTAAAAAGAATCCTCAGCTCTGTCAGTTATTTTGTATAATTGTAATATTTAACCAATGATACCTTACCCATGATGCAGATCCTTTTCCTCCTTTTACTTATAAAGGGACTAAAAACTTATTATTATTATAATTTCTTTGGTATTTATACACACTTGATGGAGCAGAATGGGTCTGGTTTCATTTGGGTATTTTATATTATGATGCATGATCATGATATAAATAAATAGGTAAATAAAAATTTAATTGAGAAAACCTATCTTATATTTTATTTGAGTCTGAATGACAAATAAAGGGGGAAGAGGTTTCTGTGGTCAAGGGTAACACACAGCTGATTTATTGTATGGTATGGACGAAGTTGAAAAAGCGAGACTTGGGCATGCTTTTTCCATAAGCAGCAGCTTCAACAATGTATTTGATTGTGATATGTTCAAGTTGAAGAAAACAACTAGTGGTAGGTCAATGATATTTGGTATGCAGTTATATAAGCATTTAAACATCTTATTTCTAAGGAGATTATTTTGCTTCACTCCCTCAGTCATAGTCGACTTAAAACTTTTAATTAGTTTACATGTATAAGTTTGTGATTAGGTCAATTGAAAGGGAACTATAAGTGGTATGTCAATAATATTTGGTATACAGATGTATAAGAATTGACAAATCTCAGTTCAATAGAGATTGTTCAGCTCCAGCCTCGGTCATGGTTTATTGACAATGTTTTGCATTATTTACATGTGATTTGTGATTATATCAGTTTAACATGAGTGACTGATATCTGGTATTTGGTATGCAGTTGTATTGGCATTTGCAAGTCTCATTTTCATAGAGATTATTTGGTCCCACTTCCTTATCATGGTTCATGGACTTTGAAACTTTCAGTTTTTAAAAACAAGGAACCAATTGATAAGTCAATGGTGTTGGGTATACAGTTTTATAAGCATTAGCATTTCCGTGGTGTTTTTATTTTGCCCTGAAGTTCATTGCATAGATAAGTTTAAATATTGCAATTTAATTTCAACATTTGCATTATACCACCAAAAAACGCAAGACACATCTCTGTGTCAATAGTTTATATTTCAATCTCTTGGTATCTTTCAACATCATGTTTTGAGTTAAATGTCACAGAAACTTCTTTGCTAGTTTAAACAGGACTTGACACAAATGATACTTAGGAATTACATGACAGAAATGTTCATTTGACTTGCTGATTACCTGATTGGCTGCCAAGTCTTTAAATAGATCTAGAATTCTAAAATGATCTAGTTTGTATAAAGGCTCATCAGATACAAAACACAGGGATACAGATCTAGCAGTGGATGCTCCTGATATAAAACTTCATAATCTAGACTGAAGAAGAATGCGTTAATCCATATCTTGTATGCAGTTGCCTTATGGTCTGGTTTAATCTGGCATATGAACATTATCTTGATTCCATTTTTAAGGGTATGTGTACATTACTTGTTTTCAAATTAATTTGACAGTTTTTATGTGTAATAAGTACAATTTATTCTCTTATGGTTATTGCCTGTGATCTATTTCTCACATGAAGAGATATATTTTGTATCACATTGCATGGATTGGGATAAGAAAAAGGTTTACGAAAAATTTGTTAATTTGAGTGGCACATCCTGCACCATTTGGTCATCATTTAGGTTCCATGATTTGGTCTGTTCTCGGTCAGATTCTCTAGGTCAACAATGTATGGTGTACAGAATGATTGTAATGAGAATATGATTGTCTGATGAGATACATCTGACCTTGGCCTTTTTTTAAAGTGTGGTCAACATTAAGTTTTTATAGACTGCAAAACTTTTGCCATTTTATAATGGTGTGGATATGTCGTCATTGTGGTCTGTAGACATATAAAATTGAAAATGGAAATTGGGAATGTGTCAAAGAGACAACAACCCGACCATAGAGCAGACAACAGCCGAAGGCCACCAATGGGTCGTCAATGCAGCGAGAAACTCCCGCACCCGGAGGCGTCCTTCAGCTGGCCCCTAAACAAATATGTATACTAGTTCAGTGATAATGGACGTCATACTAAACTCCAAATTATACACAAGAAACTATAATTAAAAATGATACAAGACTAACAAAGAGGCTCCTGACTTGGGACAGGCGCAAACATGCGGCGGGGTTAAACATATTTTTTTAGATCTCAACCCTCCCCCTATACCTCCAGCCAATGTAGAAAAAACAAAGATGTTTTCCAGACAATAACTTGAGTATAAGTGTATATATCTCAAAGAAATAAAACCATAAGGTCCCATACCACAAAATGAAGGTATGAATTGAATTTGGGGTTATTGCCCTAACAGTTTAGGAATAAAGGTTAAAAAAAAAGATTTTCCGGGGTTTCCCGGCAGACCATAACTTGAGAATATATCCATGGATTTTTATG